GGGGGACACTGCCCAGCTCCCACCCGGAGCTCCGAGGCCGCGCTGCCGTGGCGCTGACCCGGGGGCTCCGAGCCCTCCCCTCCCCGCAGGGCAGCCCCTTCCCCGCCCGCCGCCCCCGGAGGGCCTCCGGGCGATGGGGCCGCTGTAACTGAAGCCCCAGGCGGAGCGACGCAGCCGAAGTCGAGCCGTAGGAAAGCGCCTGGTTTAGACATTTCCTCGGAGCTTCTGACTCGGGGCTCCAGAGCAGCGTGTCCAGGAGAAGCCCCGTCCTGCTCCCCGGGCTGCGGGATCAGCCCCCGCGCTGCCTGCGCCGTCCCAGACAGCCGTTCCTCTCCGAGTTCACTGCGGTCCGAAATCCTGAAATTAGGGTCATGCAAATAGGAAGATACAAACGTGTGTGTCAGCCCTGCGCGAGCCAAAAGCCCGGACAAGAGCTTGTTGTCTCTCCAGGTTAAATGAGGAGGTTGTTCTAGCCGGTGAGGCTGTTTATACAAAACACAAAGCAATTGAGGCCGGCGCTAATTTCTTTTCCCTAAGGTCAGATTGTTTCTACTCAACGATACCGGAAACACTAAGGAGAGGATCGACATGGGAGCACAGCCACGTCCTCCTCAAACGCTAACCTGGTGCACGCAGGGTGACACCGGGTGATCTGGGGCTGCTGGATCCGCAGTACAGCTGCAGGCCACGTTCCGCAGAGCTGCAGCCCCACAAATCCCCCTGTCCGGCGGGAGAAGGGAAAAGCACTTAATGAAACGTTGTTCTTACAGAAACCCCGGCTAGACTGTCACAGTGCTGATCTCCCATGCACAAGCAGGCTCTGCTCCCTCCGCATGATCCCACTTGTCCAGCCCTGCTCTCCAGCTCACCAGAAAAACCAGGTACCACCTCCCCAGGAAGGCGTTTGACCGACATCTCCTTGCTGAGAGCCGCTTGCCTGCAGTGCAGGCTGGTGAGCAGAGAGCAGTGACCGCATCCTCACCCAGCCCTGTGCTCCCTGGAGCGTGCGTGGGGCACAGTCCTGGGGGAACAGCCACTGCTGGCTGAAAGACGCATGTTCAGTGCCTGCCCCCCCCGCAGGGCTCTGCCTGCAGGAGAGGTGGCCCCTTGGCCAGAGCACCGGGCGTCCATGGCTGCCAGAGACAAAAGGCTGGGACAGACGCTGATGGGTGCAGTGCTCATGCTGACCCTGGTGTAGGAGACTCTCGTGTTGTAAGATGCGACATGGTTTGACTCAGCTCTGCCAAACAACGGGCTTTGTTCAGATGCACCCTGCCCCAGACCTGCTCACTTCTCACCAGATCCGTTGACAGAAAGGGGTGCACCCCTGGTCCCCTCACAGCTGCCTCTGATGCTGCATGTCTTGGGCTTTCCCGCTCCTATTGAACTCTCTCCTCAAGCACCTCGCAGGCGGCACAAAGTAAGGATCCTGCGCAGGAGCCAGGCAATCACTATCCCAGCCCAGGAGGGCAGGAGGAGGCGTGTGAGGAACTGTCCTTCAGCTTCTGCCTCTCCTCCGGAGCCCATCACAGGACATGAGGCTGCAGATTTTACTCATGTAATATATGTCAGGTTTAAAAACCTCCCTGCTTAAAAAGTAATTGCTTTTATTTTTATCCTGTCCTGACTACAGCTTCCAGCAGAGGTGGAGATTTCAATCCTTCCTGGCTGACAATGCTCAGCCTGATCCGTGGGACTGGCAGCGCCGCATCTTGTTCTGCAGCTGCCAAAGCGGAGGCAAATCTGGCAGCTCAGGCAGCAGTGGGGCCTGCTGGAGGATCGATCCCAGCACTGGCCAGCGCATGCTGATGGCTTTCTAAATTAAACAGGAAAACAGATCTGTCCTGGGAGGGAAAGGGCGCTTGCTGTGCTGGGAGCTCCCACTGCCCCGGGACAGGCATGTGCTCCAGGGGCACTCAGCTCGGCTGTCCCCAGCCTGGGGAGTCCAAAGAGAGAAAACCGGTCCCAGCTCCTCAGTCCCTCCGCACAGCACGGAGCAAGGCAGCCACAGGATGGACCCGGCACGTCCGCAATGGGGGCCCGAGGGCAGCCAGCCCTGAGCTGGGCAGGGAGACCATACCTGCGCAGCTTCAAGCAGCAGCGTGGCTCCCGGCTGCGGCCAGCCAAAATGTTGCCTGAGCCCCTGCGGGCCGGCTCTGTGGCTGCCCCCATGCGGGGGTCCCTGCCAGGGGCCCCGCGCTGCCCAGGTACGGGGACATGGCCCAGGCTGGCAGGGTGCCTGAGCTCTTCGGCGAGAGGCACGGAGCCGGGCAGGGATCTCAGCTTAGTCTCTGGTAGGCTCGTGTCTCTTTATCAAGTATTTTCATTGTGAAACGAGATGCCTCAGAGGATCCCAGAGGAGCAGAGGAGTGTCCCGGACCCGGTGAGGCCCCTGCAGATGGCAGAGGAGATTAGGGGTATAGTTTGCTCCAACTGCTGCCCTCCCACACCTCCCTGGTGAACGGCCTGAGAAGTTCCCCAACCACCCCCTCAAATGCCATCCCACACTGTGAACTTGGCAGGGGGGAGGCAGCTCGGGCAGGGGTGCAGGTCCCCTCCTGACCTGGCCCAGGACACCAAGCTGGAGCCAGCTTGGCCTGAAATCGGGAATTTCCTGCTCCGCAATCAGCTGCACCTTGCAGCGCTCCAATGGTGCCCACAGCTCCCCGGCCATTATCAGGGTGACATTTCTGGGCTGCGGGTGCCAGCGCCAGCCCTTCGCTTTGAGGAACCGCTGCAATCAGGCAACGTAACTCATTTCTCACTTGCATTTGGCTGCCAGGAAGAGAACAGGGGACTGTGTAATCACTCTCCTCGGGATTAGATCATGAATCAAAACCCTGCTCAGCTCCCTGCTCCAGCAAGCCCTGCCAGGAATTGTCCATTCTGATCCCGGAGCTCAGGGTGGGATGACAGAGGGGCCAGGATGGGTCTGCATGCAGGCATCCCCTGCAGACAGGGGATGCACAGCTCAGGCTGCGAGGCACGGGGTGCCCGTCCTGGGAATGGTCAGAGCAGAGGAGGGCTCTGCAGCGACCCAGGACTTGTTTCATGGTTGGCTTCAGCAACCCATGCCCATGGGGGCTCCCAGCCTCCTCCTGCCGTGTCCCTCTTTGCCCCAACGCACACAAGTTCAGGGAGGAAATGTCACCCAAACCTCAGTTGTGGCTTTAACCCCAGGCAGATAACTTCTGTAACTCTGGGCTAAGGAAATCCTCAGATGTAACCCGCATGCAAGTTTATCCCAACATATAAATTTATCAAACTGAAACAACTCTTGCTCCGAGCTAGCCATATTAAATAAAAAGCCTGCCAGCATTTTTCCTTCCCCGACCAGCAGGATCCGAGTGTGCACAGCCTGATAGCGCCTTATCTCAGCACCAGCCCCCTGAGCTCCGCCTCACCCTGGCCAGCAAGCCCTAATCACCATGGCCAGATGTGGCAATGACCTCAGAGCAGCCATGGGCTGGAGGCAGGGGGGCGGGGCCGCCCCCCCCCCCCCCCCCCGAAACACCACCTTCTCTGGTGAGCCCCTCCGCGGGGCTGCATGGCCAGGCTTGAAAGCGCCTCTGGGTGCTGGAGCCTGAACCGTGCCTGTGATGGTACACCTGGGAGCGCAGAGAGGGTTGCGTTTTTAAACTCTATAATGCCAAAACCCCCATGAGAAGGGATCGGCCCCGCTGCAGCGATGGGGCGGGTGATCCCCTACTGCAGGCAGCGCTGGGCAGCACAGCGGAGGCACAGAAGCAGCAGGCGAGGGAGCTGCCCAGACGGGTTTTGGCCATACTCCTACATGAACACAGGCCTCCCCTGCCCTTTGCTTTGCTCTGGGAGTGCCTGCAGCTCTCGCTCTCTGTCTGAAGCACTGAGAAGAGGCATGACTGCTCCCGTTCATGGGAACGTCATGTTTGGAGGCTGCCACGCTCTCTCCCTCTGAGCAGCCTAATTATGTCTCCTTCATCTCTACCCAGCACCCGAGGGCTTCCACACCAGAGCAGCCTCACACAGCATCTCTGGGCTCGCTCTGGTGTCCCAATCCCATGATTACATCATTGAATGCTATGAAGCACTGAATAAAGATAAGGAAGCCAGTTTCAGAGGACAATTAAAAGGCTTTGTTTTACCTGCCGACAGAAGCTTACATCACCATGAGGTAAAAATTGCCACCATGCCCTGCAGAGGGAACAGCCAGGGAGCATCTGCTCCCTCCAGGGCGGCAGCACCAGCCAGCAGCGGCTTTTCCAGCCCCAGGACCCGTCCCACGGCTCCAGGCAATCGCCAGCAGACAGCAGCGTTTGCAAGCACCCCGCTGCTGCTGCAGCGCTGCCTTAGTGCCCGGCACAGGGAGTAGGTCCCACAAGGACCTCACAGGCACAGCTGGATGCGACCTTTCGTAGCCAGTCGAGAGGGTATGGAAAAAGGAATTTTACACCATGTTCATTCTGGAAGGGGGGGGGATATACTCTTCCTCCTCATCTCACTAAGTAAGCAACTAAGTAGGAAGCTGAAAAAGAGCAGTGAATCACTGCCAGGAGCGCCTTGGAAAGAAAAAAGCTGGTTTTAGGCTTATCTAATGTCACATCAGCCATTTCCTAAGAAGGGAGCAAATTTAATTAGGAACACAGACTCACTCAAGGACAGCCAGGTTACATACAGCACATGCAACTCAGAACACAATACTGAGAGGTCAGCATCATACATACGGAGAGCAAGAAATACAAACATCCCGGGCCTGCCTGCTAAAGGCTCGTTATTCAGGATCAAACACAGATGCCATTAGGCACAGAACAGCCAGCACAGAAACACAGCTTGCTGCAGGGTTACGAAAGCAGCAAGAGGGGAGGGCACAGCAACCAGAGAGGGAAGGAGTCAATGTGGGTGGCATGAAGAGGCAGATCTTGGACATCGAAACGAGCCCAGGGCAGACACTGGTAGCAGACGATTCCTACAGAGACTTTCCTGGCTGCAAACACAGAGGGAGGACCCGTCCAAACAGCGAGCCCTGGGTTGAGCAGAGCCTGTGCCAGTTTGCAGGGACACACGCGCTGCCTCTGCCGGGACGCACTGTGGGGCTCCCAGCGCGTGGCATGTCGCAGCCTGCGCCAGCCTTTGCTTCTGTCCTTTGGAAAGGTGGGCGGGCGCCAGCCACGGGGAGCTGGGCTTCTTCAGCCGCCGTCAGACATTCCCCAGCGAGACAGTGCATGGCGGCACCAAGACAGCTCTTTGCGTCCCCAGCATTTCTGTCCCCAAGGGCCACCATGTCCATCCTTTGCCCTCAAACCTCACAGTTCGGGTGGGGACTCAGCCCAGGCTGTCAGAACATGCACCTGAGAGCAGGGCACGTGAAACCAACTTGGGCTGCCCCCAGGCTGCTGCAGCGCTGGCGGGAGGGGGGCAGGTGTGCTCACCGCAGACTGTGCCATCCCATTCGCTCATGTAAACCACCTCAATGATTGTAGGGTTGATGGTCTCCAGAAAGGATCAGAGATCGCATTAGCCCAGCACGTCAGTGACTCCGCACAAGCGCTGCCGGCGCCCTTCTCCAGCAGAGAAGTGCTGGCACACAGGAATTCCTCCGCAGCATTGCTGTCACTGGCAGAGAGGAACCCTGGTCACCAGCCTCCAGCCACAGCTCCAGCGCGACGTGCCCAGATCAAGCCAGCACATCCCGCTGAGTTCAGGTCAATGGGCTCCTGCTACAAAAAGGAAATTTTTAAATTTCACAGCCCCACAAACTCAGCCTGGACTCCGGCATCTTGTCTACACTGAAAATTACCTACCATCGGCGAGGGGTGTCAGCAGCACTGCAGCTGAACCAGTGCCGAGTTGTCCTCCGAGGGCAGGGCAGGCAGGACAAGCTGTTCAGCACCAGCTGGGGACAGACAGCTAAAGCGTGCCGGGGAGCAGGCGCCGTCTGCTCCACCGGATCCGGAGAACGACCACACTGGGTCTGATCAAAGGTTGCTCCAGTGCAGCACCCCACCTCTGCCTGCAACAAGCACCGAATGCTCGGACAAAGAACGGGAAAGGTGAGCGTGATCCTTCCCCGGCACAGCTGTCCAGCTTCTGCTGGTCAGCGGTTAAGGATTTACCGGGTCAAAGACTGTACCTGGGTCGTGGTTTCTGACAAGATGGGCACTTCATTATCAGCACCGAGAATCTAAAAACTTAGTCATACCCTCTACCAGCCGCTGTTGTACAGAGCGTACCCCACCACCTCTGGAACAAACCCATTAGCTTTCAGTGGACGGCACGTGGAAAATTAAAGTAAATGTTGCCCTGAAGACAGGCAGTAAGGGCCCACACGGACCGTAGCTCTGGCGTGCGGAAAAAAGCACTTGTGCTGCCTGCTTCCTACTCGGGTGGGGCGGCTCGGCAGGCCCACCCTCTCCCCAGCACACTGCTGTGTTCATCTGGTGCAGTAAGGAAACGCGGCTGAAGGGCAAGAATCTGGTACGCTGTTCTGTTTTGTTTCTGATGGAAAAATAGAGATAGATGAAAACACCCAAGGCTGCTCTATAAATACATCTCATTTTAATTACTTCAAATTAGTTCCTTGGCATCCACCCCCACCCGGCTGCACCGCCTGCTTTGCAGCAAGCACACATCATTCTGCCATTGGGGTCTTCTACAGCACAGCTGCAACAGCGAGTTCCTTGTGCTTGCTTTCACCCCACTTGGCAACGCAGCGGGGATTGCAGAGCCCAAGCACACGGCTGGCAGGAGGGAAGGAAGTGCCCTTCAAGGCCAAGCTCGACCAGCCAGCTGAAGAGACCGCTCCGTGGCCTTCACAGGAACGGGGATCTGCAACAGGAGCAGTCCCATTATTTCACTTCTGGGTGGTCCCCCTCAGAACTGCCTAGAGCAGCTTTAGCCTCTCAAACACAATCAACAGGGAGAAAAGACAGACAGAGGATCTCTGAATATTTCTAAGTAGTCACGTCTTTGGAAAGCTTCGCAGAGTCTCCTTGCCCCAAGTAATCCCGAGTATGCAGCTGCTTGCAGTCACGGCTTGAAACCAGGCCAGAAGAGCAAACCTTCACAGCAAGAACTGCTTCAGCAGCCAGGGAAGAGTGGAGGGGAGGGAGCTGCTATCAGAAGAACTTGACGCCTCGGCCATCATCCAGCGTGATAATTTCAGCCTTGTGCTCTTGCTGCAAGGCTTGCAGGGCACGGAGCAGCATAGTCTCGTCTAAGCCGTGGAACTCTAGGGAAGGACAGAGATCCCCACCAACAGGAGAAAAAAAAAAAAATCACATCAGGAAACAAACAGGCTTACAAAGTCCAGGGACTGGTGGCAGTGAGGCAGAGAGCTCTGAAGAGCACCTTTCAGACTCCAGCGCCATAACACTATGGCAAATCCAGAGTTACAGCTACACTGACAGACTCATCACTACATTGCTGCATCAGGAACAAAGCCTGAAGGTCAACAGACAGAAGGGAATGAGTCACAGCAGTCTCAAAGGCAGCGCAGAAGCTAGGCATAAAACCAAAACACCCCACACCTCACGCCAGATAAAAAGCTGGGCACTAGGGAGGCTTGTGGAGCAGGGGGAGGTTTAAAATGCAAACAGCGATAACAAAAGGAGATGTTCATCCAAAGTGTTAAAAAAGCCTTCAGGGCAGCATTTGCCAGTGGTGATTGGTGTGAGCTTGCATAAGCAATTTTAAAATATTTAATCTACAAAACTATAATCTAACAATCAACCGTTTACGCGCTGAAATCAAGTGTGCTCTGAAAACCTGCTCTGGAACACGACACATGACGTTACCTTCATTCTCTGTATCATCTCCACTGGCTAATTCATACAGCGTGAATACAGAGTTGGTCAAGCCATTCTTCGACACCTGGAAACATAAAAGCGATATAGCAAATCTTGTCCGTGTGATTTAACATCCTCAGCACGATCTGTCGTACATCTCGGTGCAAGCGAAATGGAATGTGGATAGCACTCGATGAGCAACAATACCCTGGAAACACTCTGGGGCACTGGAGAGTCAAGAAATGACACCTAAGGAAACTAAGACGGTTCCTTTCCCTGCCCCTCTGCTCTTTCTGCCCATGTGTTTTGCAATAAGGACTCGTGCCACACGAAGGCAACACAGCAACGCTGCTCTGTCCTCACTACGGAACAGGCAACTGCAGCGGGAGCAGACGACTGCATCCATTGCTCAAACTGCATTTTACAGCAAGTAAAAAGCTGTTAACATCTCTACGCTTCTCTGCAACAGAGAGAAATGGAAGAAGAAAGGTAAAAGCAGTGAGGAAGCAAGAGAAAAATACTAGTAGTCTTTTTCACAAATCACAGCCAACTCCACCTGTCCTCCCGGACACAGAAAGCCTGGTCTGTGGGGCGAGACAGCTTCTATGTTCTCACCCACTGATAGATGAGCTTTCCCCATTCTTCTGGTCTCCTCCACATGATCAGAAAACTGGTTTTGTTCTTATCTAACCATTCCAGGTTCCCTAAAATCAACAGGGAGAAGGTATTTAATCAGAGCACAAGTCTACAGTAACGATCAAACCTGCAGATTTCACGACACGTGTTAGACATTACGCCCACAGGTAGCGTCAGGTAGCTGCCTCTCCCCGCCATGTGACCGCTCGCGCCAGCTTCCTAAATATCTCTACGTGTACAGGAATTAATTTCTCTTTCGAGCCCCCTCCTCCTCCCGCAGCTTAATCTGCCCCTGGGAAGGCAGCGGTTTGGCTCCTGCGCGCGGGCGAGGCCGCGGAGCCGTGGGCAGGGAAGGCCCGCGGGACCCTGCCCGGGCGGAGGCAC